CTTAGCATGATGCGTTTGAGATTCATCCTTGTTGTTGTACTACTAGTTTGTTCATTTTTATTGCTGAGTAGTATCCCATTGTATGGCTGTACAAGAGTTTATCCATTCACACTAGTTGAAGAGCATTTGGGTTGTTTCCAGTTTTTGAGTTATGAATGCATCCATTATTAACGTTCACAGACAGGTTTTTGTGGGGACATAACTTTTCATTTATTTGGGGAGTGGAACTTCTAAGTCTTACAGTAAGTATCTTTAAACTTATAAGAAACTCTGCCAAACTGTTTTCCAAAGTGTCTGTACCATTTGGTATGCCCACCAGCCATGTGTGCGTTCCAGTTCCTCCACACCCTCGCCAGCACTATTTATTGGGAAGAACAATTGGATAGCCTTTGCACCTTTTTGGAAAATCAGTTGATATATACAGGTCTATTTCTGGATTCTGGAGTTCATTCCATTGATATAGGTGTCTATTCTTTCACCACTACCACACTGTCTTCATTACTGTAGCTTCATTGTAAGTCTCGAGATCAGTTAGTAGGCAACTCCAATGTTGTTCTTCCTTTTAAAAATTGCTTGGCTATTCTAGTTGCTTTACCTTTCCCTATAATGTTTAGGATCAGCTTGTCTACACATACAAAAGAAAAGAAAAAGTCCCGCAGAGATCTTGATTTGGACTGCATGAATCTATAGTTTGTAGAGAATTGACATCTTCTAATCCATATCGAATCCATATTCAACATTGAATCTTCCAATCCATGAACATAGTACATGTCTCAATTTGTTTAGGTCTTCTTTGATTTCTTTCATCAGTATTTTGTGCTTTAGAGAGGTACATAGAGATTATGCACATATTTTCCTATTTATACCTAAGTATATTTCCATTTTGGTGCTATTGTAGGTGGTATTATCTTTTTATTTGGCATTGTCTTTTAAATTTCAAGATCCAGTTGTTTGATGTTACTCTACAGAAGTATAATTGATTTTTGTATACTGATCATGCATCCTCATTGATCATCCTCTTCTTCTGGTTTTTGTATGTTGAGTTGTTTTAGATTGTATCCTGGACACTGTGAATGTTATGTTGTGTAGACTCTAGGTCCTGTTATAATCCTTATTATTATTATTATTTTTGGTACGCGGGCCTCTCACTGTTGTGGCCTCTCCCGTTGCGGAGCACAGGCTCCGGACGCGCAGGCTCAGCAGCCATGGCTCACGGGCCCAGCCGCTCTGCGGCATGTGGGATCCTCCCGGACCAGGGCACGAACCCGTGTCCCCTACATCGGCAGGCAGACTCTCAACCACTGCGCCACCACGGAAGCCCCCTGTTATAATCCTTGATAGAACGTTGATTTTGTGGTTGTTGTTGTCTTTGTTTCAAGAGGTTATCAGCTGATTTAGTTTCAGACCCAATTTGTCTGTTGGGCTGTGGGTGGTTCTAATCGCAGCACAAATCCACAAGAGAAAGGAGAAATAAAAGGGAAATCTACCCCATGCAGGTTACTTCTCCAAATTTTTACTCCCAGGACCATTTGCCTGCTTTTGTTTAATTTTCAGAGTCATTAGGTAGTTGTGTTTTGTATTTTTGTCCAGGGTTTTTATGTAATCAGTAGGAGAGAGAGGCTGTAGTGGACTTACTCTGTTTTGGCCAGAATTTGAAACTCCTACACAATTTATTTTGATTTGCTGAAAATTTTAAAAGCTAAGATAAATGAAGTCTCAGAACACCATGAAGACAGTGACAGGAGAAAAGCTCAAAGCTAAGAGGTAACCGCAAAGACCTCTTCCATGTTTAGAGCCTTGTTTAGGTGTCAGGGTACTTCTTCTAAATTGTGGTATCCAGGCCAATAGGATTATTTCTGGTTTTTGGATGAGAAGATTAAGGAAGAGCTGGTGACTTGCCTACTTGGTCTCAGATCTAATCCCCTGACCTTCTCCTGCTCTGTATTGCAGGGCATTGACCATTGCAAACTACATTCCCCAAGATTCCTTGAAAATTAACTTTTAATTCGAGTCTGCCATTAGGAGGGCAGGAGGAAAGGAGAAATCAGAGTATTTCCCCCACCCTCTTGCTTTGGGCAGCATCCCAGGAACAGAGGCTTTTCTTCTATGGTCTGGATTCTTCAGCTACGCTCTCCCTCAACAGCCCTATTGGGCTTCCCTGGTCCTTAGCTCCGTACCACCACCTCTTCTCCCTTGTCCTTCCACCCTACAGATGGTAGTGACTTCCTATTGTACCTGGGTTGCCTTACACCCCATTTGCCCTTTCAACTCTTGCAACATTTTCACAACCAGTTTCTTTGATTAAATTCCTGCTACTGATATACTGGCATAGGCTCCGTTTATCTGGACTTGGACTGATACAGTCCACGTGGGAGGGCAGAATCAAAGCTCTAGCTCATGTCTCCTGATTCAAATGTCAGTGTCTGCCCATTACCCTTCTCTGGCTGGGAGCATCAGAGGAAAGAGACCACCCTCTGGCCGACCAGGAGGGCAATGCACTGATCTAAGCTGCACATTATTCTACAGGAATGTAAAAAATAAAATGGTTTCACACACAGGACCAATTTTCTAGGAAAGCCATCTTACATTCAGCAGCATCTTCCTTTCGTGTTAATACGATACACTGTCATTTAGGACTCTGAATCTTCCTCACCTATATCCCCACTCCTCCCATGTGTTCTTTTGGAACAGGCAGTGGGTAAGTCATGGAAAACTGAAGTGACTTCGGGGAGACCCAGCAGAGCAGGAGATGAGAACTGAGTAAGAACCAGGGCTGGGACTGGGACAGGACTCCAGCTGAAGTGGTCAGTGGGGAGAAGATGGGACGGCTTCACCCCAGGCGCAAACCAGGGGTTATGGGACCCAGTGGTGTCTGAGAAGGATCAGAGGTTTGGCAACTTCCCCAGGCCCAAAGGCTGGTAAATGGCAGCGAGGGGAGGAGAAGGGGGTGAGCAGCCAGGTTGGAGTTGGGGCCACCACCTGACCCAGCTAGTCCAGGGCAGCAGGGACAGCTTCTGCTGGTCTATGTCCTGCCATGGGCTTATGAGACAGAAATAAAAGCACAGCCAGCATCTGTCATAAAAGACCTTTAATGGTCTCCTATTTATGGTTCTTTTTTTCATTAGAACGGTTAGAACTGTCCTGTTAGAGTTGAATAAACTGTAATAACTTATCTGACATAATAAGGAATGCCACAGGTACAACAGATAAACCTGGCAGGTGACCCAGGAATAAGGGTGTCACAAAAGAATCACTTAACAGAAGGGGCACAGACCTGGAGACCAGTCTCCACCACCTGTCACTCCTCACACCCAGGATCCACACACAGTACCAGGTTGAGTGCCGGCTCCCATTGGAAAGGAAGGCGCAGCCCCCGCCCCCGACATCTGTGGCTAGACCCCAACACTGAGCAGAGACGTCCCAGGAAGACGGCCCATCCAACCATCATCCCCCGAGTGCTCCTGGATCTCCAGGGCAGGCCATGATCACACCCCGAATTTGTGAGCCCCCCTTCATACCCACCTCTCCCATGACCCTTGCAGTAATCCCTTTGAGTTGGGCAGAGCCGGGCACTATCTTCATCTTACACAAGGGGAAACGGAGGTCAGGTTCCCAAGGGCACACTCGGACTGAACACAGAATAGCATTGGGCGCTCTTTCTCCCATGCCACGTGGCTTGTTGTGCCCCGACTCTCACATTTCCACCTGGATGCCCTGGGTGGGGGCCGGGCAGGATGCTGTGCCCAGGGCTGGTCCAGGTCTCCCCGAAGTGCCCACCTCTTAGTCAGCCCCAGTGAGGGACCTGGGCAGAGGGGCAGACCAGCAGGAAGAAAATCTGGGGGACTGGAGGTAGGGAACCAGCCTCTCTTCAGACACCCGCCTGTTGCCCACACATTCAGTTGACCGCAGAGGTGGGCATGGAATCCTATGAGAATTGCTCGAGGGAAATTTGCTGCTTAAAGGGTCTCTGGAGGAATCCTGCCTTCATAGGAGGGACTTTTGTCATAAAGTCCTCCCTTGGCGTTTCTTTTACTAAAGCTGGCTGTACATAAAGAGGAACCTAACTCTAGTTTCTCTTCCCACCACGCTGTCCCTCTGCCATCTCATGGGCCTGGGCCGGGGGAGTGGGGTGTCACACTGGGGCACAGACACAAGTCCTGGGGTGGGGCTGTACCTCTTTGCTTCCTCCATGGTCCCCCACAACGCCTGGGCCAATTTCAGGGCCAAGACCCGTCCTCACAGCACCAGGCCCCCGCCCAAATGAAACCCAGGCCGGAGCTTCAGTGGGGGTGGGCTACAAAACCAAGTGTGTGTGTGTGTGCACGTGCGCGCACGCGTGTGCGTGTGCGCGCGAATAAGCAAATGCTTGAGCCTGGGTCTGTGACCCAAGTTCCAATAGGACGATACTTTGTATTGGAATGCTAGAGTCATTCCAACAGGAAATGCAAGAATAGAAGCTGGGCTTGCTGGTCTAAGATCAAACCTCAGAATGGTGGTTTGAAGAAGTTTTTCTTCAAAAGAAAGTTTAAAGGTGAAACCTCAGTAGGCAAGACAGATAAAAGCAGAGTTGTTCTGGTGGAAGTGGGAATGGCGGGGAGGGCTGGAGACCTATCCTCGGCCTCCACCCCCATTCTCCCACCTTAGCAGCCCCTGACGAAGCTCTGTGGCACACCAGGGGTTCCACAGCACCTGGTTTGAAAACCAGTGTGTCAGAGTCTACGGGTCATGGGTCCTGGGGATCTGTGCTTTGACTTCCCTTTCGGGGTGAAGAGTTGGGAGAGAGTGATGGGGGGAGGATGCTCCCCCTTCAACGGGCCTCTCTTTGAAGCCACCGTGCAGTGAGCCTGCAGGGGAGTGGTAGAGGTGGGGATCCTGCCCCATGGGTAGGCCATTCCAGTCCTGGAAGGAGAAAAAAAGAGAGGGAGCTGCCTGGGCCAGGAAAGCAAAATGCCAGGCCCAAGGCAGGCTTATGCACGAGTCGGGGGAGTCTGTTTTGGTCCTTGTTGACTTTAAAAACCAGAACAGGTATAGGCCTATGTCCATGAGACCCTATAAGAGTCCAAGATCGGGGCCTAATGCCTTCCTCTGGGATGGGTGGAGGATGTCCAGCCCCCAGTCGCTGGCAGGAGGGAAGCTGCCTTTGTGGGCTGCTGAAACCACCGGGGATGCGTCAGCTGGGGCTCAGGTCTCAGCGTAAGAGGCCTGGGTTTTCCCCGGACCCCAATCCCTCCCAAGTTTCACCAAGAAGCGACAACTGGCGGCTCTGGTTGGTCCTGGAGGGGGTCTTACACTTTGAAGGGAAGGGGCAGGCAACTTCTATTCCACTTCACCCTTGGGGTAGTGGGGGGGGGTTAGCACCCCTGGGCCTGTGGGACGAGGCTGTCCCTAACCTGGGATCAGATCCAATGCTTCCTGACCTCTGACACCAAGGTGTGCCCCCACCCCCCCCCAATCACTGACACAATCCATGTCCAGTCTCTCTGTCTGGGTTGCTGGGACCACTGCCCGGAGACACAGCATTCCTGAACAGTATCTGAATTTCCCTCTCGGCTGGGTCACCAAAGCCGAACTGGCCTCGTCTCATCCTGGCTGACCTCTGCCTAAGTGACATGGGGGCAAGAGATGAAGATGGCTGGGAGGGCTCTGCCAGCGGCAAACTTCCTGTGTGACCCTGGGCTACCCCCCCGCAGCAGCAGGGCCACAGCCTGGGCAGCCGTATGCAACTTACAGAGCTGACTTGCATCTCCTCTGGGCCTCACAAGTTCCTCGAGCTGGGCGGGAGAGGGATGGCAGTCTCATTTTACAGTTAGGGAAACCAATCCCAAGAGGTTGAATGAGTTGCTCAGGCTCCTCAGCTGGGTGGTAACAGCCAACACGGAGCGGCATCGTGGACTCGCAGGCCAGGGTGCTCTTCATGGCACCGCGTGGGACCAGCTTGTCAGCAACTCCCCCAGCTGAACCAAGACCCCAAGTGAGTCCACTCTGTTTGTCTGGGCTCTGAGACTGAGAAGGCCCGTGGAGTCTAGCCAAAGAACTCTGTCCTTATCTTCACGGGGACTGAACTCTTCTCTAGGTTGGAAGGCTGAGGAAGTCCAGCTGGCCGTCTGCCTGCAGACTTTCACCCCGAGCCGTGCTCTCCCTTCCTGCCCAGACTGCTATCTACATGCCACCCGCATGGCCCACTGCAAAGTCTCAGTGTGGAGAGGCAGGGTCAGCACAGGCTCCAAATGTGTGGACAGAGAGAGCCAGTACTGTGGGCTGGTGCCTGGAGCCCAGTGGGGCTCCCCCACCCCCAGTTTCACTCCAAGGGTTCCCCTGGACAGGCTGACTCCAGATGGAGAGGGACCCTGCAGAGAAGAACTCAGTCATGCTTAGGGACTGCAGGAGAAGCGGGGTCTGGAACCAACCAGAAACTTGGCAAGATGATCTGTATGTTCTTTCTCTCAGGAAGAAGCCTGAGCGTCCCACTGGGCTGCAGTGCATGTCTGTGCAGGAGGGCGCCCAGCCCAGGGGCAAGTGGGGCTAAACTCCAGCCTGTGACCACTCAAGAAGCTGTGCATTCCAATGTGGGTGGAATCCACCTGGAAGGGACACCATTTCTAATTCATATCAAGGCACTATACAGACTAGCAGCGATCATGGAACCCTGAATGCAATGGCCCCCTCGCTACTTCCCGTAAAACTTTCCCTTGACCATGAGCTTCCTGAGGACAGGGGCTGGGACTGACCCAACTCTGTGTCTCCAGTGCTCAGCGCCAAGCGGAGAAGTTGTCAACCAAGGATGGTTAAGCCAATTTCAGATGAACTTGACCACTGCCCTTCTGCAACCCTGGGCCCAAAGAGTAAATAAAAGGCTAAATGGGCCCATGATGCTTCTTGCAGCTGGAGAAATTTCAGTTCAACACTGGGATAAACCCAATATGGTGAGTGTGATTTTGAGGTGGAAGGAGGTCAAGAAACCAGCCTGAAAAAGCTTTTGTGTGACCGGGTTAGGAATGGGGGAAGAGGTCTATTTGTAGGCAAGTGATCACCCCCAAATCCTAAAGGGTCTTATATCAGCCCCAAAGGTTCCAGAAGACCACCCTGAAGAGCATATGCTTGCCATGCATTGTTCCAACAGCTCATTAACTCTCCAGCTGCCCAAATGAGGTACAGACTGCCCAGCAGGTTCTGGGAGGGGCTGGGTGCAGCGGGGACCCCAGAACTGGCCATGGGTGTGTGACTGCCCCAAGCTGACTTGGTTCTGACCTGGAGTAGGGGTCCCTAGGGTTGAGTCTTCATGAGATTCAGAAGGGAAGGGCGGGGGTACAGCGCCAGGCACGTGAACTGGGTAATTTCACCATGGAAAGTGGTTGCTCGGTCCACTCCAGGAGGGGCTGGACTGAAAAGGGTTGAGATGCAATTTGTACAATAAAATTTCGCCATCTCCCTTTTCACAAGTATGGGACAGGGATAGAAAGGAGCAAGAGATCCCCTTGCCCTGCGAATCAATATATTTGCTTGGGTATAAGGTAAACTTCAGGACATCCAAAGGGGGTGTGAAGTACTGGAGGGCTTATCACAAGCTCTTCCCCCACCCACCTCAGCAAATACAAGCTCTATCCTTCTGTAACACTCGGGCCCTAGGGCCAAGCAGCTCATGCTAGCTATGGCCACAGCTTGACATCACACAACCCCTCAGGAGCCCAAGAAGGGCCTTTCTCAGGCCTGGAGTGGGTGTGGGGTGGTGGTGCTAGGTGCTCTCCATGGCCCTGCCACCTCTGGGGTCCAATGAATCCTCGCTGGTAGCAGACAGATCAGAGTCAGTGGCTCTGGCTCCACCCACCAGACCAGAAGCTCTAATGTTCACGAATTCCTGGAGGCAGAGCTGGGAGGGCCCTTTGTGATCATCTGGTCAAACCCCTTGGTTTTCTAGGTGAAGAACTGAGGCCCAGAGATGGAAGGGAACTTGCCCAAGGTCACACAGTAAATGAGCAGTAAAGGTCAGACAAAAACAGATACCTTTTAACACTTTCTGCCTCATTGTCTGCCTGCCCTGTTGCCCTGGAAATGCCCCATGTCCCAATCACACCAACACTAGCCAATGGGTACTGGGTACCCATGACACTGGGAACTACTGGGGCGGTCATCAACTCCCCAAGGAAACAAAGGAGTCCCCCCCTTCCTTTTAGGTGAGGGCATCCTGATGGACCCTGCCACCTTCTGGGGAAGGATCCTCTTTGACTGTGGGCACAGTGACCTCAGGTGCTCTCTCCTAGCCTGCAGGGGCAGCCCAGCCCGGCCCTGGAGAACTGCAAGGGCAGGAGGACACCGGTAGCCCTCACTTCCCAAACCAGTAATCACTTCAGGGGTCACTGATCACTCTTAGGTCTACAAAGGAAGGGAGCTGGGCAGACTCTCATCTTCCCAGCCCGCCCCCATCTCTCAGAGTCACCCTTCAGGAAACCTCCTCGGGACCTTGGTGCTTTCTGAAGACCCCTCCCTTCTCTCTCTCTTCCTCTGTGCATATTTGTAGATAGGACACACACACAAGATACAAGGCAGTTAGGATAGTACATCCTGACGATACTGAAATAGACTTGGGCTACTTCACACAACTTGCCTTAGACTAGGTAACTGCTGGTAAGAAAGTCAGTCCAGCTACTTTGCTCCATTCCTGGGGTCCACAAACCTTCACCAATGCCACTGTCAGTCACAGAGGGACATGGGGGGGGGATGGGGGAGGAAGGGGAGAGGTGTTTGGTGGGTCCAAACTGCGAAAAGAACTGCATGGAGAATCTATCCACCGGTCTGCCCCTCCCAGCCAGAGGCTGGCCTTCGAGTCGGTCATGTTTTAGCTGCCAGAACTGTGTTAATCACCTGGGAAGGTGGACATCCTCTCACGTGTCTTGAACCCCCATCCCCGCCCCTCCAAGCCCTCATGCCCCATCTTCCCCTTTCTGCTCCCCATCCCAAGTCAAATTCCAAGACCAGAGCCATGTTGGCCTTTCTGGGGGTCAACAGGAAAAGAGCGGGGGATGGAGAGGTGACTGCAGTGAGAGTGGTGAGGGTGGTGCACGTGGCCCTGTTGGCATGGTGACGGGGCCAATCCTGAGGCCAGAGGTTCACCACCGTGACCTGAAAGACCACTGGGGCCCCCGGTAGAAGCTGGAAGAACAAAGGGGAGGGGGAACCAGGGCAGGAAGAAGACAAACAAGCATCCTAGTGTGTGAGAGAGGACCTGGAGCTGCCCGGAGGGAGGGCCGGCCCCAGTCTATCTGTCGTTGGGCTGTGGAGAGCCGGTACCGTCCTCCTCTTCCTCTTTGTCATCCTTCATGCCTTTCAGTCTCTGGCGAGCAAAGTCCTCAAACACAATGTCGTCGTCGCTGGTGGGAAAGACAAGGAAAACGGGTGTGTTTGCAGGGCAGGGAGAGTAGGCTTATCCAGGGGCTGGAGAGCCTGCACAGCCAGGTGGGACCCAGAGGCTGGCCTCTGGGACTGGCCTCGGATAGAAAGGCCTGCCAGGCTGGCACATCTGAATGCCCATCAATGACAGTGGGACCAGCCAGTTGTGGAAATACCAGAGGGAGGCATGAGTTTGCCTAAGGGCTGGAAATTGACCTGGTTCTTGAGGAGTTGGGGTCAAGGGACACATAAAATTGGGAGAGGGGGTCAGTGTGGCTGGGTTAGGGCCAGAGGAGGAAGTTATTCCCACAAAGAGGCCAGGCCACCAGTAGTTTCACAGCAAATTCTATTCTGAATCCCCCAAGAACAGGCCCAAGAAGCCCCATTCAACCACCCGAAGAAAGCACTCCTGTTTTCTGCACAGGAAGCAGTGGGCCTGGCTTGGAAGAGAAAACCCCTTTTCTCCAGGGAAGTGTCAGCTCACATTCTACCCTGAGGGATCTTGGATAAGACAGGGTCTGTGGGGGGCAGGGAGGGGGGGTAGGCCAATCTAAATAGGGGGGCAGAGAAAATGTGGGTGGGAAAAGAGGGTGCCTGAGGGGGTTTCAGGGCTAAGGGCTGCTTCTAAGAACAGTAAGTTCCCTTCTACTATAAGACATGTCCGCATAGGCCCACCCAAGGCCCAAGCCCCACAGAATTCAGCCAGCCACATGGGGTGTCCTCATGGGGTGACTTAAAACCCCATATCCCAAATATCTCCTGGGGGACAAAGGAAGTGTAGATTTGGAGCTGGAGTGAGAAAGCTGCTTGGCCCTGGAGGTATTTCCTGATGTTCGCCCAGGTCCTCCCCCTCTGGCCACTGTCCGGTGACACGACAGCCTTCGACCTCAGGGGAATCCACATTGGTCCTCAGGAGTCAGAAGCAACAAGATCCCCAGAAACTTCCCCTCCCTACGGCCTGATTCCACTGGTTGGGTGAAGCCCAGGCAAGAGAGCCCCAGCCCAGGGCCACAAACCAGCCCTGTGACAGCCGAGCAGGTGCTGTGGATGGACGAACGGACTGACGGACTGACGGACGTGCAAGGACGAGGGAGGAAGACAGACCCCACCAAGGCAGGAGGAAGAGGAACAGGCACCGAGGGTCCTTCAAGTCACATGCAGGCAAGCGGGTTGCTGAAGAGGCGAGCAGAGGCAGCTCTCAGCAGACGGGTTAGACCAGCTGCTCCTCACGGGGTTAATTAGCATAAATGCAAATAACCAGGTAGCCCCGCCCACCTCCCAAGGCCCGCCCCCCCAATATGTCTGCAGGCAGGGTTTGGCTTACGTGGTGTCAAGTTCTATGAGATTGGTATCTACTGGAGCCTCGTTCTCTGGAACTAAACACAGGGCAGACGAGCGCCCATGGGTTATTGGTGAGTGGGCAAGTGGGCAGGTGGGCACAGGTCCCCACCCTGGGACAACTAAGCTAAGATGGGGAGGGAAAGGAGGAAGGGGAGTGGAGAAGGGGGGGGCTGGTCCCTGGTCTTGGTAACACCTCGAATAACCTTAAATGCAGGGAGGAGGGTCCAGGGAGGGCCAGGGAGGCCCACAGCAGGCCCAGAAGAACAGAAAAATCTCTGGACCCTGCTCCTTTTGGCACTTCTCCAGCACGACTTAGATTCATTTGTCGCATGCAGGACTGTTACTAACTCTAATACAACCATTTATTCACATTTTCACATCTCTGAACTTGGGGTATGTTTACAATCAATGGCATTTCAAAGTTTAATTGTGGGAACACTTTTCTTTCTTTGTGGTACATACTACAATGTTTCTTTCAACCGAAACAGTCTTAGGTTTAATCCGGTATCACTTGGAAAAATTATGGGGATGGTGTGTCCAGGGATCATCTTATCCATGCAGCCCCTTCCGCTATGCCTGGATGCCAGACAAGGGCTCCAAGCATGGCCTGTGCAGCTCCCACCACCACCCCCAGCCCAGAGAGAACAGAGCCAGACCTCTCTATCTCCTGAGGAGTCAGATGCAAATAGGAGTGTGGGCCTCACAAAAGATCCCATGAGCTGGGGAAAAGGCGTGACCCTGGGCTGAAGGCTGACCCAGAGGTAGGTGGGGTGATAGGGATACCCCATCCCAGTGACCCACAGATTCTGCTCACCTTCCCGATGCGGGGGTTCCTCTTTGGGCTTGGGGTGCATTAGGGTGAAGGGCAGCTCCACAGCCACGTCACTGAAAGAGACCCAGACCAGTTGAGCCTTGAATCCAGTCCCAGGCTGTGAGTCTCAATGCCCTGTCACTTTGAGGACTGGGGAGGGTTTTACGGTAGCTGTGGGCCAAGAGGCAGGAAATCTGGCCCCAAGACCCAGTTCCACCACTCTCTGAGCATCAGTCTATCTGGGAGTTGAACTGGGAGATTTCTTCTCCTGGCTCCAAAAAACATGGAAACTTCCCCTTTCCTGAGAAGGATCCCTGGATTCCCACGAGCTGGGAGGAGGCACAGGGGTGGGAAAAGGGTTGCCCAGGGCAGTGAGTGTGCATCTTGCTCGCTGAGTGGCTCCAGAGGTGCCCTGAGTCCCTGCTGGCCTCAAATGGCCACAGCCAGCCCAGCCTCCCCTGACACTGCCCTTCCCAACTTCCTGGTTGGAACTCCTCCCACCCTCACTCTGTCTTATCTCCCAACATCTCCAGGGGGCTCCTGTGAAAGTGCTCAGGTGGCCCTAGCCCCCTGCAATCTAGATGAGGCACTGCTGAGGTCGGCTTAATCAAATTCAAGCTAGATGGGACCCAGGCCCCAGCACCGTCTACATTGTGCATAGAGCCTTGAAGCCATGTGGGGATGGAAGGATGGGAGCGGTGCTGCTACTGGCTAACGTTTCTGACTGGGCCTTCTCTCCCCTTAGCCCTGATGGACAGAATAATAACAAGAGCAGACACTCACATGGTACTGACTCTGTGCCAAGGAGGAGTCTACTTTTTTTTTTTTTCCGCCTTGCTGCTCAGCTTGCAGGATCTTAGTTCCTTGACCAGGGATCAAACCTGTGCTCCCTGCAGTGGAAGCGCAGAGTCCTAACCACTGGACTGCCAGGGCATTCCGCCAAGGAGTAGTCTAGAGTCACTCATTTAACCTTCACAACAACAATGTACAGGCTGGGAAATTGAGACCAAGGAGAAAACGCAGCATATCCAAGGCCGTACAGCTCTTAAAAGAAAGTGACAGGGCTTCCCTGGTGGTACAGTAGTTAAGAATCCACCTGCCAATGCAGGGGACACGGTTCAAGCCCTGGTCTGGGAAGATCCCACATGCCGCGGAACAACTAAGCCCGTGCGCCACAACTACTGAGCCTGTGCTCTAGAGCCCGTGAGCCACAACTACTGAGCCCGAGTGCCACAACTACTGAAGCCCACGCGCCTAGAGCCCGTGCTCTGCAACAAGAGAAGCCAGCCAATGAGAAGCCCGCGCACCGCAACGAAGAGTGGCCCCCGCTCACCGCAACTAGAGAAAAGCCCGCGCGCAGCAACAAAGACCCAACGCAGCCAAAAATTAATTAATTAAATAAAGAAATTAAAAAAAAAAAGAAAGTTACAGACTGAGGATTCTGACTCCCTAATTCACACCCTTAACCCTGTGTGATAACATCTCAGAATTGAGAAGGTGATTCCACCCACCTTCTTTCTCCACTCCAGACAAAAGCAGCCCTGAAAGCTCCTCCACTCCACTTAGGTGGTATCACCCTACAAGGCCCTATCAACTGTGAGCGCCTACAGGCACATCATCTTACTGACTTTGCTGCCAGGGGCCGGTTGAGAGGAGGATGGGGCAGGGGACGGAGGGGTCAGGGGTATAAACTACGCAACCAGAAAGGGCTGTTCCACCAGCCCCACCACTCACTGAGGAACACTTCACATCTTTTTTTTTTTTTGGTACATGGGCCTCTCACTGTTGTGGCCTCTCCCGTTGCAGAGCACAGGCTCTGGACGCGCAGGCTCAGCGGCCATGGCTCACGGGCCCAGCCGCTCCGCGGCATGTGGGATCTTCCCGGACCGGGGCACAAACCTGTGTCCCCTGCCTCGGCAGGCGGACTCTCAACCACTGTGCCACCAGGGAAGCCCCAACACTTCACATCTTTAAGTCTCACTGAGCTTATCTGGAAAACGGGGCTAACTATACCTACCTTCTAGAGCCACTTCCAGGAGGTGACGTAGGTAAAAGGCTTGGTTAAACTGTGAAGCTTATGCCTGCCAGAATTATTACTTCCCCTCAATAGGAACATGGGGGTTTCATAAGGCTATTGAAACAATTTGGCTTTTTTGTTTTTGTTTTTTTTGCTTTTTGCTTCCAAAGGGGATTGCTTCTCCAGGTTCACTTGGAAAAGTGAGCTATCAGAATGGAAGCTGGTGGAAGACTGACTGCCAACCTTCACTAAAGCCATCCAGAATACAGATGGAAGAATCTGGACCTTAACCTTCCACCAGGCTATGAGCAGTCAAGGGCAGGGGGTGGATCTGGTTCCTCTCTGGGAGCTCAGTCCCCCTCACAAGGCTGGGCTCAAGTATGGGTTCAGGAAATTCTTACTGAATTACACTGCATTGAATTTCACCTCTCCAAATGGACTCAGTTTTCTTGGATGAGCAATAGTGGCATCTTGTGACAGGAGGAAGCAAAGCACTGAGTTTGGGGCACAGGTATTTTTGGAATGCACGTGGATCCAGCTGGCTCCAGGAAGCCTCGTCTACAAAGGCAGATCTCAGGACCTCTCCCTGACACACTCAGCCAGCAGGTAGTTCTCATTAGTGTAGAAGTTTGAAAGCCACAAAGCCTGCATTTCTCCAAAACATCCTGTAAAACAGACTGATTGGGGGCCACTCCCCAGATAAATGGAGCCAACTTTGCTGTCCGCAAAGGTCCTTGTCACTTGGGTAGGGTGGAAGAGCAGGGCGAGGTTTGAAAGGAGAAACTGCACCTCCCCAGTCCCTCTGGAGAGGGTCCTAGTCCCGGCACAGGCCTGAGCCTGGCAATCAAAAGTGACCGCTAAGATTCCTTCCAACCCAGTGCCCGTGATTCTGGACAATCAGGACAATGGTCTCTGGGCCCTTCAGGCAGGTGAGTTGATCAGGTTGAAGGAAGGGACTTTACCTGGATGCAAGATCTCCCAACAGGCTGTGGGTGGGTCAGAGGAGGCGGGAGAAGTGGTCAGGAGAGAGTTCAGAGAGGAAGAAAACAGAAAGCACGTTCATTTACCACCTCTGTTCCCCTTTGGGGTAGATTAGATCCTGGGACACACTCTACCCACCCCAGTTGTAACTGCTCGTTCAGGGACATACGGAGGTGTGAGCCCTGCGTGGGGAACTGGAACCCAGGCCCGGCTAAGCCAAACTCCCCGCGAGGGGAGCCCCAGGGTCATTATCTGTAAAGGAGACATAAAAGTTAACCCCTGTGCTGCCTGCCCTGGGGAGGCTGGGGCTATCCAATGGCAGAAGGAAGCACTTTAGGATTCCCCAAGGGTTCCTCAAGAAGGAGCCTGAGGCAGACTGCGGGTCCTGCAAGAGTCGCAGGACACGGGATTTGAGATTTGTGATTCTGAGATGTCCTATAATATATGGTCCGTATTACACACTGTCACCTGCACGAGGCATTATTCTAAGAATAAAGGAGACTCGATGTCTAATGCTATTAGCTTTCCAATCTTTTCATAGAAATTTATGAATTAAAAAAATCCCTCTGACAAATTAGAAATCCTAATTCTAGGTTTATAACAACACGTAGGCCCAACATATGGAGAAAAGTGGGAGTTCTCTCTGAGCTTCCACCAGACAATGCTCCAGGTAAGGGGATACGTTTGGTCTACCGCCATGACCCCAGCAGCCAGCCTGTGACCTGAGATGAAGGGAGGAGATTTCAGGAAATGTGTGAGGAATTGTCTGGGCCTCTGTTTCCCCATCTGTAAAATGGGAGAGTCGGAGCATCCCCAATCCAACTCTGGAATTCTGAGCTCCTTGAGCCATTTCCCCAGCAGATCAGCCTGGGTATGAGTCGGGGTGGGTGCTGTGCCCTGAGACGTGATGACGGACATGGCACCCTTGTAGACCCCACAGCACAGACTCTGAGGAAGCTTCCCCCCACCTCCCACGTGCCCAGACTGGCGATGGGGAAGAGGAGGAGGAAAAAGAGGAAGAAGAGGAGAAGGGGGGAGGAGAGAAAGAGGGGAGGGGCAAGAGAGGGGCCAAAGGCCTCTGAAGTAGAAGAGGGAAAGGGGAAGGAACAGGATTCAGCTAAAAGGTCCAGCAAACAGGCAGAATGGGGCAGCGGGTGTGGCCATCAGGGACCTCCCTGCTGCACTTCGGGGTCTGGGTCTGGGCTGGGCTGTAGCACTTACCCTCCCCGAGACACCACCAGCTTCACCTTCACTTTGTAGGAAACAATGATGCCCAGGATCTCCCGGTTGGCTCCTTCCCTCAACCTGCAAGGCGACACGGGGAAGTCGGTTCACAGGGCTTGCTGGTGGGCAAGACCCGGCAGGATGGGGCGCGGTGTGGGCAGCGGCCAGCGGTCCCTTTCCTGGCCACTCAGCCACCAGGTCCAGGCAGAGCCCAGTGCGTGAGAAAGGCGAGGTCTGCTCTCAGGGAGCGGGAACTCAGAGCCCTGGCTTCCGAGTCTGGCTTTGAACCCCTGCTTCCCTCCAGGGGCCTGAGTCCCAGCAGTGCTGTGCTGCTGTGCGGAGCGGCTCTTCCTGCTCTCGCGTGGATTCCCTTTGTCTCACTCCTGAGCCAGAGAGGAGAGGGCAGTTGGCAGGGGAGAGGAGGGGAGTGGGTACCAGGGAAGACCCTGCAGGAAGTGATGCTTTAATTAGGTCTCGAAAGCAGGTAGGATTTGAGCCAGGGAAGAAGACAGCAAACACTCCAAGGGGAGATGGTAGCATAGGAAGGGGCGGGTGAGACGGTGTTTGGGCTGGAGTGGCGGGCAGCGGTGCTGCAGAGGTGGGTCAAACCCCCAGGAAGGGCCAGACCTCAGCGGGCAGGGCAAGACGGGTCCCCACACCCCCAGGTCTCCACTAGTGGAGGGTGGCCTCAGGGAGTCAGTGGTGACCGTGGGACAGGAGTGACCCTATGTTATGGCCCTGGGATCTCTGCCCTCCGGGGACACCCCCACGTGTGGTTTAGCCCAGCTCACCACCCTCAGATCTCCAGACTCCCCAGGCCTGTCCTGAGTCACCCTCTCCTGCTAGGACCCTCCCAGAAGCCACTCCCTTCCTTCCTTCCTTCCAGCCTTGCTCTGCCTCAGGGTCACACTCTATCCAACAGAAGACATGACGTCAGAAGCTCCTGCCTCTTGCACGAAGCCTTTCCAGGTTGCCCTCCCCTAGGCAAGCCAGCAGAGCGCAGCACTGACTACGAGAGGCTGGTCGAGTGGTCCATCTTGCTCTCTGGGGCACCCCTGGATAAGGGTGGGATTGGGGGACAGCTTCTCTGGCAGTTCAAGCTCATGAGGACAGGCCCTGGACAACGCTTGGGGAGAGGGTAGCCTGAGCCCACGCTGGCACTGGTGGGACCAAGGTGGGTGTGGACCCGTTTTGGGGAAGGGTAGGGGAGCCAGGGGAGGGGGGACATCCAAGAGCCTGGGACTAGGGAGGGTAGGTCCTCACAGGGTGCTGGAGGCCAGGTTCGTGTCCTCATGTTTGAGCTTCCCGTCCAGGGCGAGGCCCCGCTTCTCTCGGTTGTTGGCCAGGAAGGGGGTCAGCGTGTAGACCTTGCAGAATGTCGAGCTGGGCGCCACTGTGTCACTGGGAAGAAGGGGAACCGATGTGGAGATGCCCCCCAGAGCCAACCCCAGCCCAGCCAGGTCACAGAGCCCGGCCCTGATCCAAGTCCCCCTCCGCCACGAAGGGGCCACATGGGCCAGGCCCAGCTCTGGCAGGGAGACCACTGCCACCCTAAAGGGGCACATCTCTGCTCCACATGCAAACAGCAGTGACTCTGGGGTGATCCAACAACTTCATTCTTGGTTCGTAAGCAGGTGCAAGGTTTAAAGATTCAAGGTACTGCTCGGCCCTGTGCTGTTTGGCGAGGATAATTTTTTAGTGGAGACAGCATGGACTTTTTCTTTCCCTAACACATTATTATGAAAGAATTTCAAACATACAGGAAAACTGAAAGAATTGTGCAGTGAACACCCATATACCCACCCCCTGGGTTCTACAATGAAGACCTTATTTGCTGTATCTCATCTCCATCCATCACGTGTAAGGTGTTTGGATTGTTCAGTCTTGACCTGCTTTTGCTCCATCCGCCATCCCCCTTCTCAACAATGAGCGAGCTGGGGTGTAGCAAGCCTCAGAGTCAGAAGAGCCCCAGCTCTGCCGCCGGCCGGCCCTGTGAGGCTGAGCAGGTCACCTCTCTGGCCGCATTTCCTTCCCTACGGACTGGGGTCAGCAGCAACCCCAACTCAGAGGGCTTTGTGCGATCTAGGTTTCCAGTACAGTGCAATTATTCTCTTCCCTCCATAACCCCGGTCCTCTTAGATTCACTAGCTCTTATTTTGTCATTCTAGTTTTAGTGGGTCTTTCCCCTGACTGTAGCATGCATTTCCTTATAGCTAAACCAAGTGGATGGTTTCTAAAAGGCTGTTCAGGGTCATTTACACTGAGCGGCAAGGAAATCTGAGGCCAGGCCCTCTGCCAGGTGGAGAAGAGCCACCTGGACCTGTGACCAGACCTAGGGCTTCTCTTTTCCCCACCGGATCCCACACGCCCAAAGCTGGCCTTGCGCTCACTTACTCGGCCTCTTCCATGGCCACGGGGCACTTGTACTGCGCTGTGTTGAAAAGGCAGATGTCTGCATACTGACGCACTGGGGAGGAAGAGGGAAACAATGTGGGGTGAGCCAGGGGTCCCAGGCTCCCCGAGTTGGGGATGTTCAGCCCCAGACAACAGCCAGTCCACCAGAAGCTTCTGCAGGAGATGGACCCATCCTCTACATGGCAGCTCAAACATGCCCACTCCTTCCATAAACAAAAATCTCCCCCTGAAAGACAGCCCTTGCCAGAACCTAGGGAACCTAAGAGAAGAGGGGGCTTCAACAGTAAACTCATTACCCCGCCAATAAGCAGCCTGTGTTACCAGCCTCAAAAGCCTTGCCCTTTGGCTTAGCAGGCCTTGGGCTTCTCTGTGGGCCGGTAGTTATGTACAAGGCTGTTAGTGAGGGGAGAGCCTTCAGCTACCCCAACCCCTGCGAGGAGTCCCCTTGCCACCCCCTGGGCCGGCCCTCTGCCCGAGTACCCGAGATCTTAATCTTCTTCACTGTCTTGTTGGTGTTGTTGGTGACGTGGACGTTGACACTGATGGGTTCTCCGTGGTAGTAGATCTGGGAGGTGTAAGAAGGGAGAGGGATGGATGGGAAGCCTCCAAAACTTTAGATGACGGGGAGGGAGAAGAGGCCCCACACACATCTCCTGGGGTTCCCCAGGCCTTGGCCACTCTGACATTGGCCCCAAGTTCATCAGCCACTTGCCACTGATGCCACTGGGCATGTTAAACTTAAGTTCCTTTGTGGGACCTTGAAAGATAATTAAGTTAGAAGGTGATACTCCTGTGTTCCACTCCGGGGTTGGCCACCAGAAGTAACGATAACAGTAATAATAATGGTAATGAGGGTGAGAGTGGTGTGACCTTGAACAGGTTATCTAAGCCTCAGTTTCCCCCTCTGTACAATGGAGGGACTGGAGTAGGTGATATATCAAGTCCCTGCCGGCTCTGGCTGCCTGGAATTTAGACCCAGGAGGGTCTGGAAGAAGCAGGAGAAAGGTGGGGAAGGGCTGATGCACTCACTGAGGGAACCTGCTCTGAATCCTCATTGAAGAGCCTCAACTTGCATCTTGGCCCAAGCACTTGCCTTCAGCTGCCCCCGCAAAGGGAGAGGAGGTGCTCACACTTCAAAGGGGGACAGGGGTGCAGGGAGATGGCCAGGACCCAGGAACCTTCAGGAGGTACGCTGACTTCTGAAGTCAATCGCACACTTCGAGCTCATGCCCCACCTCTGCCACGCCTTTAGTCCCCAAGAGGCTTCTCCAAATCCTCCAACGGAGGTCTCATATTCCCTGAGCCCTGTGATCCTTGGGCTGGAGGCAGAAGCTCCCAGCCGAGGAGGCCCGGAGGGCATGAGAGAGGTGGGATCTGAGGCTCCAGCCCTGGGGGAGCGGTCCCCACCCCCTGCCAAGCCCGAGCCTCCTACCTCCTTATCCAGGGAGGCCTCCAGATGCAAGGGCTTATCCGACATGAGGAACTGCCTGGTGGTCTCGGCTGTGGGCTGCGGGCCGGGCCTCTCCGGGGCGTATTGCACCTTCCGGATGATCAGGCGCACAGAATTCCTAGTGGAGATGGGTAGAGCAAAAGATGACCAGAGTCACCGGCCTCCATCCTCTTTCCTTGCGACCCTCACATCCTTCTCTTGCTGAAGAGACTGCCATGGTTCCCATGACCTCAGACTCCAGTCCAAACTGCAGAGTTTGGCATAGGGCCTTGTCACCATCTGGTCCCACTCCAACCTCCTCCATCTTGTCCCCAGCCTCCTCCACTTCTTCACTATCATTCTCGATGGTCTATCTAGTCCTATTTCTGAAGCTCTGCTTATACTGGGTCCCAGCCTATAACACTCTCTTCCAGCTTCTGCCCTCATTTGCTTCCTTCCTCAAGGCCCAGCCAAACACCCGCTCGACCAGGAAACTCCCGAGATCCGCCCACTCTGATCTTCTCCTGGTCTGAACTCCCTCCCACCACATCAGAGGCCGAACCGTCCCACGGCAGCACTTCATGTGGATCTGTGTGCTGGTAGCCAGCGGGACGCTAAGAAAGGGACTGTTGTTTCACTTCCTGCATCTCTTATGTCACCTAATAGTGTGAGTTCTTTAAGGACAGAAGTTTTTGTCTACGTTGTTCACTACTGTATTCTCAGTATTTATGACAGTGCCTGCTGCCATATAATAAATACCTGCTAAGTATCTATTAAATAAAAATATACACAGGGAACAAGGGGCCCATGAAGAAACGGGGCTCAGAGAGGTGAAGGAGTTCAGTGAGGAGGTGTGGATTCAGGCAGAGGGAGTAAAGAGGATAAAGACTCAGTGAGAGGATGGAGGCCCAGAGATGGGATGGGGCTCAATGAAGGTGATGGGCTCAGGGAGGAAACAAGGACACGAAGATTTGGTGAGGGGATGGGACTCAGTCAGGCAGTCTCCTGTCAGGTGTGCTAGGTATCCCGGCATCCCTTTTTCTCAGCTAAGCCACCTCCATTCCCTGAGCTGGATAGCCGGGGCTAAAGTCCTAGCTCTCCCCATACTAACTATATGACCTTGAGTAAATTAACCTCCGTGCCTCAGTCTCCTCATCTGTAAAATGGTGACAACAGCAGGACCCACTTCTTAGGGTTGCTGTGAGGACTGAATTAGTTCATACATGTCCGTCACTTTGAACTGTGTCTGGTGTCTAATAAGCTCTTGATAAGTGATAGTTGCTATCTCATTATTAGTAACTCCAGCGTGGACTTAAAATGTCCCATTGGTGGTAGGTGCTGGCTCTCAATGCTGCCTCCTCTTCCCTGCTCTGGTTAGGCCACCTACCACAACCTACAACCCCCTTCCTTTCTTCTGATCTCAGGGCTTAAGAAGAAAAGGGGCACAGAGAAGCAAGGGAGAAGGATCCCATCTCCACACACACATAAGCTGCCAGGCTGGAGTTAGAGATGTGCAATGCATCCTGCGACCACTAGGTGGCAAACTCAGCCCGCTCCCTAAGAGGCTGCAGCGCCCTCAGGAAGCAGGGTGCATCAGAGCTGGGGGCTGAGGCCAGCCTCGCCGGGAGCCAGAGCAGAGCCCGACCCCAGGAGGGGCAGGTGTGAGCGCGGGGCTGGGCAGCTCACCCCAGAAGTCAGGGCCAGCTATTTCTGGCTGCTAGCTTGGGCTCTCTGTCTGCCCAGGGCTGTGTCTCTCCAGGAAAAGGTTTCCCCTCTCTGACATACGGCTGACCTCCTCCCTCTGCCCTGGGTGGGCTCACGTTCTCCCCTTCCCTGCCTTGTTTAGAAGCCTCCATTGACACCCCCCTAACCCGCCGCCACAACCTCCTGCTGATGGCCTCCCAGGAGAACTGGGAGATGGGGGTCCAAGCTGGCGGGAAACATCTTGTTCACTGTTTAAAACAATCTGATTTTCGTTTTTCGTTTTTTTTCCAAAACAAAATTAAAGGACACGCCGTCTGGAGAGGAAGAGATTAGAGGCAGGGAGATAAGGGAAGCGGGTACAGTGGTGCAAAGGAAAAAGCGCTGAGGCCTGAGCCAAGGCAACTGAGCCACCTCCCCCAGGAAGCCCTCACAACCTGCAAGCCTTCCCGAGTGCCCTTTGCAGAGTTCCCAAGGCTGGAACGTGAGGCCCCTCCTCGCACACTTCCAGGCATTGTGACTTCTGTCTTCTTCGGACTTTGCCCATCCTGTCTCCCTACCCCTGCCAGCAGGCAGCCCACGCCCAGGCAGGCGGAAGCTGCGCCCTTCTCACCGCTTGTGGATCTTCTCCTCCAGGTTCTCGGCGCAGAAGGCTTTCACTTCATAGTCCACACCGCAGGCCTGTGGGGAGGGGTCACTGACCGCAGAGCCTTGGAGAGGACCGGCTCCCGTGAGCACAGCCTGCCCACCCTCTCATGTAACAAGGCCGCTGGATGGGAGCACCACGTTCCCACGGCCTGACCCCCCTCGTCTGACTCGGAACCCTGCGCTCAGCCAGCCGCGGGGCTGCCTCCCCCATCCGACCTTCCCGCAGAGCTGCTCCCTGACCGGGCTCCTCTCCAGACTCCTGCCTGTCTGGGGGGCTGTCCTCATCACTCAGCGAGGCAGCCGCCCAGAAACAACAACAGGCACCTCTGCAGCCCTGTTTAGAGAGCTCCCCCTGACCTCCGGTGCACAGACCCTGCACTGCGCGTGTCCCTGCAGCGTCTCACTCCACCCTCTAGACCGCACGACGAGGCACATCCTACCACCTCCATTTCGCAGATGAGGAAACGGGCTCAGAGATCTGAGGCCTGGGCCACTCATGGTGTCACTCCTCTCTGAGCCTCAGTTTCCCCACCTGGGAAACAGTGATGACGGCACCTCCGCACAAGGTTGTGAGGCCGGCTGGTTTTCCAGAGAACATTCTGCAGACGACACCGAGGCCAGCGAGAGTGACCCTGGACACATAACTGAGTGATACCGTATCTGCTGCCCTGTCTGTAGACTGCTCATCTGAGGTGGGATCAGCCTGGCCTAGAGGCAAGGAGGCTTCCACACGGAGGGTTCCAGCACCCTCCCCAGAGAGAAAGCCAGGGAACTGGAGACACAGTGTCCTGGACCCAGAGAGATGCTCCCTTGGGGGTGACCCACCTTCCCTGTGTCTTCAGGCCCCGGCTGCAACGTCACAGAACATGGGAGGTTCGGAGCGATCTGTTAAGAGGACGGACAGACCTGTCACATTCACCACTGACCTCTCTGTGTCTCCCACCCCAGGCACCCATACACACATTCATCAGACCAGGGGACCCTGAGGACAGGCCATGTCCCTCCCATCAGACTAGGGAATTCAGGGGACAGACCATGTTTCCCCCATCAGACCATGCCAAGCCACGCCCCATGTTAGACCAGAGGCCCCTTCAGTTACACCAAGGATTTCAGTGTTTTTCTTTATCTAAGGGTTTAACCCAGCACAGTCCCCACAGAACAAGAGGTGAAAAGGTCTTTCCACGATGTCCACTGTGGTAGGCAGAATAATGGCCCCCCAAAGACGTCCACATCCCCATCTCCAAAACCTGTGATAACGTTACCTTAAATGGCAAAAGGAACTCTACAGCGTGATTCACTTAAGGATCCTGAGATGGGGAGATTACCCTGTATTAACCAGATGGGCCTTATCACAGGGTCCTTAACAGTGAAAGCAGGAAGCAGAAAAGACAGCGTCAGAGTGATGGGATTCGAGAAAGACTGGACCAGCCATTGCTGGCTTTGAAGATGGAGGAGGGGCAGGCTAGGGACCAAAGAGTGTGAGTGGTTTCCAGAAGCAGGAGAAGACAAGGAAACAGTTTCCCTCCTGGAGCCTCCAGAAAGAAGGCAGCCCTGCTGACACCTGATTTTAGCCCCGTGAGACCTGATTTTGATTTCGGACCTCCAGAACTGTAAGATAACACATTCGTGTTTAAATTAGCAGGTTTAATTACTACCAGGTTTGCGATGATTCCTTAGAGCAGCCAGAAGAAGCTAACACATCTATGACAGAGAGGATGGCTCTGCGTCCTCTCTCCTTCTCTGACCCTCACAGAAAGCCGGGGGATTTCACTGAATCACAGAATCAGAGTCTGAGAAACAGTTAATTTGAAAATCCAGAATCTTGGGGTCTTGGAGTGGAAAGATGGCCGAGCAGGGAAATCCACTACTTGCCATCCTCATTTGTGAGCTGGGTTGAAGCAGGGCTAGTGGGCAGCCGGTCTGAGGGAGGAGACAGCCTTGCGGTGACCCAGGGGCCAGAAAGGGCTCCTTCTTTCTCTGCAGCAGCCCCCCTCGACCCCCCTTTCTCCCATCAATGACCCGGACTCAGGAGGGTCTGGGGAGTAGCGCAGAGGTAAGGGTGATGCCCCTGGCAGTGGCCAGAGACACTTACCAGGCAACGTAAGTGCCAATGCCCTGGTCCCAGCGTACACTGGGAAACTGGGTGGCACGGCGCTGCTGCCCCAGCTGCCCCCATATGCCTGCCCAGAGGGCTTGCTAGACGTGATGTTTCTGGAGTGGGGCCCCAGGGGCTGGCAGTCCCTGACCTCAAAGGTGAAAGGGTAGGCGTGCTCGCCCAGCTTCTTGATGAGGCGCTCCTGCAGCCGAGTCAGGGGTTTCTTGTCCTCAGGGGCTGGCGGGAAGGACTGCACGTTGGCCACAAACAGGTCCTTGCGAAAGGTCAGGCCCAGGACATCCAGGTCCTCCCGGCCGTAGCGGAAGGCGCAGGTCAGTGTCACATAGACTGTGGAAGCAGGGGACACTAAGGAGGGGCCTGGGAGGGCAGCAAACACCCCCCCCCCGCCCCCAGAGCGTGAGCCGCAGCCCTGGGACTGGCCCCACTGGAGGCACAGGTCTGTCCCAGAGCTCCTGCGGGGAGGGCTGCGCTGCCCTTGGGATGGGGTGTCAGGTGCCTGGCCCCTGGGAGGAAGTGGGGCTGACTGCTGGATCGGTTCTGTTCTTCTCCACCCCCACTGCAGCCCAGGGCATGTGTGGAGAGGGTCTGACAGGGTTGATAGGGGCTGGGAAGGAGCACAGTGGGAAAGAGTAGTGGGAGGGGAAACAAGTGCTGGGTGGTGTCCAGAAGGCTCAGAGTCTTGTCCCACTCACCCCCCGCCCCACCTCCTGTCCTCCTGACCTTAGACAATTCCTTGACCTCCCCAGGAATCAATCTTCTCTTCTGTACAATGAGACCCTAACTCCTGCTCTGTTTGCATCCCCAGCCTTGCAACAGTCATGATGGATTGATGTAAAAGGGCTCAGGGCATTAGAAGGTTCTCCCAAAATGGGCGCGGGCAGGGCCGCCCCAGGCCGGGGGAGGCCAAGGCACCTGCTCTGACGTTGACTGGAGCTGTCGAGGGAAGTACCAGCAGGGAGGGGCAGGGACAGGCTTGTTGCCTCTCTTACTGCTGACATTCTGCCTGCGAGTCAGGAAGGCCCTCGGCTGGAGGTCATGGAGGAAAAGGAGGCCCCCTGACAGGCTGGGGGTAAGGGCCACAGCTCACCTCTCCTCTCCTTGAGATACTCAGGATCCACCAGGACCACACCATCTGGAGGAAGGACAGAGGGTGAGTAGACTTGACCATTTCAACTTCTGAGCCCCAAACACCAAGTTCAATTGAAACTCAACCATTTTTCTGTCCAAAAGCATCATGAGCGAAATGGGGAGGCCAGCGCCCGGTCGATGGTACCACCATGTCCCCCCTTACGCACCCACCCAGGCTGGCCTGACAGACCCAGCTCACAACTTTGGGCAGATTATTTAACTTCTGTTTCTTCATCTGTTAGTCAGAATAAGAAGATGGGTCCAAAACCCCAGTATCAGGTATACTCTGGAATTCAGAAGGTTTGAATTGTAGGAACACCATATGGTCCACAGGTTCTCTAATGTCTTCTGCCAGCTCTGGGGCGGCACCCCTTGTCAATCATTGATACCTCTGCAGGGAGACGCAAATATTTTCACCAAGAGGGTCACTAAGGTATCGGTGGCCTCCCATCAGTTCAGGTCAGGTTTGCCACTGATGGAATTTTGTGTCAAACTCATGAACAGTTTGGGGCTTGCAGAGTTTTGGGATTTGGGATTAACAGATGCTGTAGTACCTACGTCATAGGGCTCCTGTGAGGACGAGATGAGTCAGTATGTGTAAAGTGTTAGACAGTGCCTGACACGTGTGACACCATGGAGAATGTCCCGAGGCCTGGTCTTGGGAGTACAGAGTCCAGCTGAAGACGAAGGATGTTTTCTCTGCCCAGACCCCAGGAGGCCAAAAAGACTGGCTCAGGGGTCACCCTGTCACCTGCCCTCCCCAGTCTAACCCACAGCCCCCCTCACCCCACACTGACCCCCAGAGCTGACCCCTCAGAGGCCACATTAGGAAGTGAGTGCCCGGAGGGTTCCTGGTCTTCTCCCAGTGCTGGGCAGGTCCAAGGGACGACTGGTCAGGGGGTGCCCACCCCGTGCCCAGAGCCTGACGTGCATCTTCCCTCCTTTTACCGTGGGCTTTCCTCTGGGCCTGGGCACCAGGGGCTGAGTGGAAACTCAATGCAGAGGACATCCCAGCAAGGGCACTCCCCGAACCAGGGGTATCAGGGAAGGCTCCCTGGGGGAGGGGGAGGGGGAACCAGGTCTTAAGGGCAAGTAAAGGTCATCATTTAGGTGACCAAGGGACAGCCCAAGGTGGGCAGTGGGAAGAGCACGGCTCTGAGGCTTGGGAGAGCAGACCCCGGAGGCGTAGGAGGAAGGAGGGCCGGGCCTGACCTTAAACGTCCTGTCTGTGAGGTCAGGGGGCTCGGACTTGCCCCTGAGTTTGCAGGGTAACCAGGGGTAGAGTTAAACATCGGGAAGACACAATCAGCTCAACGTTGTGAGGGAAAAAGATTTTCTCACTGTGGGTCATTTGAGCAACTCTGGACGACACCCCAGCACTCTCTGGGATCTGCAGAGCCTGGCATGAAGCAGGTGCTCTATGAACACTTGTCAAACAGTTCTCAGGGTGCCTGTGTGTGTCAGGGGAGCCAGATCCCTCGTGTCCCTCTCCCCAGTCCCCGTGACCTCGCTGCTATCCTTAAAGGCCAAGGGGTGTGACAGCCCTGGCCTCAGACAGCCTGTAGGAAACTTTGCCTTGGAGCAGGCCACAGGCGAACACAGGGATGCTTGCTCCCTGCCTCCAAGTTCAGGGAGGAGATGGAAATGGCAGAGGGGGCAGTGAGCTTCAGAGGACACCAGACAGGGCTGGGGAGAAGAAGTGGGGTGGGGTCATAGTGCTCCAGGCCAGGAAGGGAGGGGCCTGGAACAGAGCTGGACTCTGCAGCCCACAGCCTGCTCAGGGACCCCAGGGACTCCCCAGGTCTCCTTCCATAACGTCACAAAGGCCTTCCTCTCAGCGAGCTGAAACCTGCCACTCTGCTCCCTCTGCTCCCACCTGGGCTCTGGAACCACAAGTCACTCCTGTCCCCTTGGCCCCAGCAAAGCCCGCAGGGATGTGATGACAGGCCACGTTCTCTGTGAATTTTTCCCCAAGCAACACATCCTACTTTCTTCACCTGGACTTGGCCTCATGCAGTTTCCAGGCCCATCCTCCCAAACCGTCACCTTCTTTGGCCTCACTCGGGTTTGTTCACGTCCCTCTTTAATCATTTAACCTCTCTGGGCCTCATCCACATTTGTAAAATAGGGGTCATGCTGGGCCTCCCTCCCTCAAACAGTTGTGGGAAGAGGCAATGAGACTGAGGTTCTTTAAGGAGAGCTTTGGTTCTTAGAATCCGAACTGGGGGCGATTCTGCCCCACAAGGGGATATTCGCAAGGTCTAACAACACTTTTGGTTGTCGTACTGGGATGGGGGGACTGCTGGTGTCTAAAGGGTAGAGACCAGGAATGCTGCTAAGCACCCTTCAGCAGAGAGGATGGCCCCCGCCAGCAAAGAATGATCCAATCCTAAGTGTCAAGAGTGCTGAGGTTGAGAAGCCCTGAACAAGAAAAAGTCCTTGCAAGTGCCTTCAGCCACAGCCCAACCTCCGGTAAGAACCCCACGTCAGCGAGGACAGCCTCCGTTTCAAAAGCCCCTAGGTTTTCCTGTCACCTCCCACCCTTTGCCATTAGGAGGGAGCAGAACAAAGGTTCTGCGAAGCCAGACTGCCTGGGTTTGTTTGAATCCAGGCTCCTCGATCTACTCGCTCTGTGACCTGGAGGAAGTCACTTAACCTCCCTGTGCCTCGTTCTCCTCGGTAAAGCAGGGATGATAATAGGAGCAGTTACCCTCGGCGTTGGGTAATAATAAGGCTCACGATAAGTGGTGGCTGTTGTCATCCTCCTGGTGTCATCAGGCACTGGCCCTGCTTCTTACCTCAATCCTTCCCACAATTTCCTCTCACAGGTCCCTCAGTTGAAGAGGAAAGTAGCTGCTTGGTAAGCTTTTCCTGACTGAACACATGTCCTGTTCTTGGTACCAGGCCACTCTGGAGACCTGAAGGCTATTCCTGGGCAGCTTCAACACGCTCTTCTCTGGAAGGAGCCAGGCCAGCCCTGCCTCCCCCCTCCCCTCCCTCTCTGGCCTCCAGGGACTCACCCACGGGGTCCACGAGGTCGATGTGGTCCACAAAGTCCCGCTTTCCCAGGTAGACGGTGAGCTGGGGAGGAGAGGCACAGAGGGTGTTAGCAGCTGTGGGCCCCCGCCCTGGAGGAAACCCTGGGAGCTGCCCCTGAAACCCCTGGGCCCAACCCTAGCCCTCATCAAAATCCTAACTGGACTTGGACCTGAGCCCCAGTCCTAATACGAACAAGCCCTTGTATAATTTTTAAAGCACCCGTTCATCCCAAAGCCCTGTGAAGAAGTTGTCATTGTTCCCATTTTGCAGATGAGGACACTGAGGCCTGCAGGGATCTTCCTGCCAAGCACCACTGAGGGTGGAGAGGCGGCAGCAAAGGAGTCTGCTGGGAGGGGGTGCTGGGTGCAGCTCTGAAAGGACAGGGGGACCCAGAGCAGGGCCAGCAGCGCCGAGAGGGTGCTCTGAACACTGAGCTCTGTGCCCTTCACTGCTCCCGGCCTCTGTGCAGCCTGCAGTGATCCACTCGAAGGACTTGTTTTCCGAGGCAGTGAGCGCCCCACTCATTAACCAGTCTTCAGGGAAGAACCCCAGAGCTAGAATCCAGAGTGTCATCCTGGATGCTTCCTACTCCTCCCCAATCCCTAAACACTGATGAGTCTCCCTCCACCAGATTTCTCCATCCTCACAGCCAGCATTGGCTGAACTACACGCCAGCCCCTTGACGGTCTGCTGCCTGGAGCCTCCCTTACTTTGGACCTTTCTCCGCTCCTCAGCCACACTGGTCATCCTAAAATGCAAATCTAACCATGGTAGTCTGGTCTGAAAACCCTCTGATGGTTCCTCAGTGCCCAGAGGTAAAATGACAAATGAGTTTCATTCCAAATGCCAACTCTGATTGATTGGTAAGGGCTGCCTGGGGCCCTGGGTTGAGAAGAATCCAAGATGGAATATGGGCTCAGCAGGAAAGGGTGAACAGTGATTGGTGATGTCTGCCTTGGGCTCAGAAGGGAGACGTGGGTGATTGGTGATGTCTGCTGTGGGCTCAGAAGGGAGACGTGGGTGCACGTGGTGCTATTTGCCAGCCCAGGCCAGGAGTCCAAGCTCCTAAGCCCGGCCACCTCCCCCTCTCAGCTCCCGCTCCCTCTGCCTCCCTCTTGGCACCCAGACTCCCTACAACTTATGTTCACGCCTTGCATGCCCTTTTCCACCCTGCCTTGCCTGGGAATGCATCTTTCCCCACAGAAGCCATCCCTGACCACCCAGGCTGGGTCTGCAGCTATACTTACCACTTTATATTGAAATTACCAGTTTCTGTGCCTACCTCCCGCATCTGGCCCTGAGGGGCACGGGCTGTGCCTTATTTATCTCAGTACACCCTACCCTGATTCCCACTGGCTCAGCCTATACCTGACGTGGAATGATGTCAGTAATATGTGCTGAAATGAGAGGAAAGCAGGATGGAGCCTGGGGCTGTATTAAGAAAGAGAACAGGGCAGGCACTGGGAGCTGCCCCGGATAACAGGGTTCAGTAGAGAGGCTCCAGGGGCCGCTTATGCCAGAGGACTCACCACCCCTGAGGCCCTTGGCACTTGCTCTAATTATTGCACTCACAGTGCAGCCTCTCCGTGATGGGCCACACCAGGGCAGGGGTTCCCTAAAGTCCAGGAGAGTCGTCCTGCCCCCCTGAGACAGCAAGTTTGCTGACAGGGCCCCTCTCCTTGTAGTCGAGGGCTCCTAAGGACAGGGCTGTGTCTCTCCCTCAGACAGGGTGTGCAGGTCCTTCGCGGCAGTAAAGATGCCGGAAGAGGGGATGAGAGTTTGAGGACAGAGAGGAGACAGGGTGCGGCTGCTACAGACTCACCTTTCCATTGGGGCTCGCCTTCTTGAACACCCTGGGGAGAGAAAGAGCGGGAAGGCCAGGTTAGCATATCCTGCCCAGGGGAAGGTTCCTGCAGGCCGTCCCTCGGCAGGACCAGAACAAGGGGTCTGGAGTGACTTGCAGGCACTGACCAAGTGCTGGGAGCCGTAACAGTGCCTGGCATGATCAGATCTCACTCTCTTCCACTGCCATCCCCACCTGAGACGCCATGCTTGCCTTTATAGGTCCCCTGGGCTCCCTCGACAGCCCCCTCAGTCTGTTCCTCACCCAGCAGGCGGAGGGAGTCTTCTAAGATAGGTCAGACCTGGCCGCTCATTTGCTCAAAGTCCTCCCAGCTCACGCAGAGGCACGGCCTTGTGTGTGTGGTTTGCCCTCCCCCTTTACCTCCCAGCTTCACTTCCCCCTACTCTCCCCCATCCTCCAGCCGCAAGCCTGCTGGCCTTTCCTCCAACACACCAGGGTGGTCCCTGCCTCAACAGTCCCTTCCCTGGGACGTTCTCCCCACACAGATACACTTGCCCAGCCCCGCGCTTTATACGATGACGCTTCACCCTGTGCCTACCCAGTGTTCCACATCCTCTCACTGTACTTTCCCGTTTTCCACAGCACTCACCACTTCCTAACCCACTACATAACTGACTCTCGGATTACATTTATGCCTGTCTACTCTGCTACCGTCATCTCCACGAGGGCAGGGATCTTTGTCTCTCTCGTCTACTGATGCGTCCCAAGCACCTAGAACGGCACATCTAGTAGGTGTTTATTAAATCTGTGTTAATGAATGGTAGGCAGCCAGCACTTAATAAATATTAGTTGAGAGGGTGAATGAATGAATTAGTGAAGGAATCAACTGAGGAACTGAGGCCAGGAAGGGAGGGAATGTGCCCACGGCCACACAGCAGAGCACGGATGTGGGGTCGGGCAGAGGCATGGTCCCTGACTCCCGTAAAGTGCTCCCTCTGCCTCCCAGAGCACTCCCTGGGCCCCAGCAGCTCTTCCTGCTGTCTCCCTGCAGCTGGTCTGGGAGCCTGAGGCCCCTCACCTATCCCCCATCATCCAGCCCCAGAACCGCTCAGAGCAATGTTGGGAGGGAGAGAAGAAAGGTAGAGACGGAGACCCAGAGGCAGAGAAGGTATTGGAGGAGGGAGGGGAGGGAGGGAGGGAAGGGAGGGGGATGCTGGCTCTGGAGATGTGACAATAAAGGATGGAATGAGAGATGATAAAACAAACAAACAAGAGAGGGAGAGAGAGACAGTCACACAGAGAGATGGAGCAGACACAGAGCAACAGAGCAGACCTGCATGCGCTGCGAGCGATGCAGGCAGCCCGAATGCTGGAGGGGCAGGAGGTCCAGCAGGCATCCAGGGCAAGGCGGGGTGAGGCCCACAGTGTCCCAGCGACAGCAGGTCCTCCCAGAGGGGAGTGGGGTGGTGGCTCTGTGCTGCCTCCGTAGCCCCCCCATCACTCCTCCCCCCTTACTTTTGGGGCCCAAGGGACCACTGATGGGTCTGAGCTTGGTTGGCAAATAAGAGCCTAGCACATCCCTCCCCCACCTCCCCTAGGAGTTCTGGGTTTTTCTCCTCCTCATCAATATTTATCAGTGTTTGGAGTGTGAAGATGCCACAGTCAGCTGGGGTATAATAATTGCTAAAGGAGAAAAAAGAATACAGATCACACAGCTTGAACTAGCAGCTCCCAAGCTAAGGCCAGACCTGCAGAGGAGACCAGAGAAGTGACAGGCCACAGAGATCCCAGCTGCTTCCAGAAGCCTCAGTCCACCCCTCAGGAGCCCTGGGTCTGATGGAAAGGAGAGGCCACAAATGCCTGAGGCCACCCCAGTGACCCCTGAGAGGGACCAGCAGCACCCTGGCCACAGGAAGCTGGTGCGGGGGGCCAGCTGGGAGTAGTGATAGTCAGAGAGAGAAGGGAGGGAGGGAAGGAAGGAAGAAGCAATTAACATTTTTATAAAGTAGGAACTAGCATTTGTTGAGTGCCCAATTAATTATTTCTCATAACAGCACTGTGAAATGAGCATTATAACCCTCATTTTACAGACAACGAACTCGAGATTCAAAGAGACGTAGTAATTTTCCCAGAAACATACAGCAAGCAAGGGGCTAATAAGTCAGGATTCAGACCCAGTTCTGTCTGTCTGCCTCCAGAGGCTGGTTATTTTCTGTCCAACCCTGCTACTTTCCTAAAGCAGGTGTTTTTATCAACGTCAGGAATAACAGAAAAAGGAGAAATGAGGACAGGAGTTGGGGGGAGAAATGAAAGGGTGAGGAAGGAGCGACCAGGAGAGTAAGCGTGACGAGGGGCAGGAAGCACGGCCAGCCCAGCAGTGGGAGATGGCCCGCTGCTAACTCAACCAGCCACCGGGCCACCTCCTCAGGAAGCTGGACGCTGATGGCTTCCTCAGACAACAACAACAGCTGCGGGCGCGTCCAGGCTTGTACGCCCTCAGCATGTCTCAGTATTTTTCCCAGAACACTGTTGTTGATCCTTCCACAATCCCATTTCAGAGATGAGAAAACTGAGGCTCAAAGAGGTGAATTATGGCTGCCTGTCTCCAGAGCCCATGTCCTTTCCACTCTGTCCCACAGCCAAACGGTCCCTGAAACAACTCCACTGGCTTCCTGACCACAATGCTGTCAGAGAAGAGGCCCCTGCAGGGGTGCTTCCAGTTCACTGGGACCCCCACCTGGTGCAGGACCTCAGAGATGGCTTCTGCCTGTCCACTTTGAAGAGCAAGCACAAACACACAAAACTGAGGTAAAAGCCAAACTTCCAGACTGTGGGATGGCTGGGTTTAGTTCATCCCCAAGTCCCGTTTGTACCCCATAAGCCCGACCCTCAGAGCCAAAGCTGGGTCCCACGCAAGAAATACTGGTGGTGTTCTAGCTGATTAAGACTCTCTGGAGATAAGGAACAGAAACCCACCTAGCAGAGCTCAAGAAAAGGAGAGGGTATGATAAGGAGGCAAAAATCTCACGGGAAGGATATGCAGGCAGGACGCACGGGGGCTGGAGCCGGGAACGGGGAAGCCATCAGCCTCTCAGGCGGCTGCTCTCTTTCTCCACCTCTCTCCCTGGGGCTGCATGTTCTCCCGGCTGCACTGCTCTGTGTGCGGCTGCTACATTGCCTCTGTGGACCAACTCTCTTCTTACTCAGGGCTTTTCTGCCCCTCCATCATTTTGGCTTGCATGTGGCTCTCACTCCGACCCTATTTCTACTCTGCCTCTGCTCAGCTTCCCACGGTTAACTGGTTGAATGGCCCAATTCCAAATCCCCAGGAGAGGAATTTCATTGGTCAGTTTTGGTCAGGTGTCCGATGCCTGGGCCAATCAACTAGGCTTAGGGTGTGTCATGTGGTCCATCAGGCATGGGCAGAGGAGGGTCTGTAGAGCAGTGTTTTTCAACCCAGGGGTCACAACCCATTAGTTGACAATGAAATCAACTTACAGAGTTGCCACCAGCACTTTGTTGTTGTTGTTTTTTAATGCAATAGAATAAAAGATACAAGCATCAGGTGCAGATGGCAAAGGTATAGTAGATACTACTATTATACTACTATAGATACTACTATACTACTATTTTACCAATATTCTATTGCCCTCTAAGGCTGGGCATATGGGTGGATCAAATTTCTCCAGTCCTATGAAGTTAGTCGTGCCCATGCAGCTTGCTCTGGCCAAGGGAACATGCGTAGAAGGGCCATATGTCACTTCCGGGCAGAAGCATTTAAGGGCTGGTGCATGATTCCCCATGCTGTTTATATTAGCCTTCTATGGAGGCTATAACAAAGGGTCACAAACTTAGTGGCTTAAAACAACATAAATGTATTATCTGGAGTTCTGTAGTTCAGAAGTTCAAAATGTACCTCACTAGGTTAAAATCAAGATGTTAGCAGGGCTGCGTTCCTTTCCAGAGGCTCTAGGGGTAAATCTGTTTCCTTGCCCTTTCCACCCACATTCCATGTCTCAAGGCCTCTTCCTCCATCTTCAAAGCAGCAACAGCAGGTTGGGTTCTTATCATATTGCATCGCTCTGACCTCCTCTTCTGCCTCCCTCTTCCACTTTTAAAGACCCTTATGAATACATGTAGCTCCCTATTTTAAGATCAACTGATTGCCATGTGATATAACATATTCAAAGGTTCCAAGGATTAGGACGTAGACATTGTTGGGGGGCCATTCTTCTGCCTACCACAGCCTCTTTCCTCTCTCACTGAAACCAGCAATGATCTGGATGCGAAAGCCTTCAGAGACCGAAATCCCAGGGCTCTCCTGCTAGATGACAGACATGTAGCATGAGAGAGAAAAAAAGCTCTTGAGCCACTGAGATTTGGGGGTTATTTGTAACTGCAGCAGACCAGCTTCTCCTGGCTAATAGGAAAAGTAAATATTATTTAGTAAAACGTTTGTTTCAGATGAACTGAGTTGCAATGTAAAATGAATACCACGCTGCACATTTTTAACTGTTTAAAATCCACTGTTCTAGAGAACATGCCTAAAACAAACATGCTGTATCAGTGTCTGTGCAGCCTGCTGGATCCTATTTTCCGATTCTGCCGCTTTTCTGTGTGCCACCAGTCCTCCCAATGCCCCTTTGTGCCTATAGGGAGAGGCCTATATCGTGAGGGACCCAGAACAAAGTACCTTCCTAGATAGATTACCTAACAACCAAGAGTTTATAAGTTTGTATAGTACAGCCAAACAATGGAATAATACTACATAGCATTGAAATTATGCTTGCATCTTTCATAACACAGGGAAATGCCTATGATAGAATATTAAGCAGAATAAATCAGGAATCAAAACAGTATTTTTGGCATGAGCTCAACTTTATACTCAATAAATACCCAAAAGAAAGAAGGAGAAGACAAGGTTGTTAATATGGCAATACTCCTCAAACTGATCTATGAATTCAATGCAACCCCTATCAAAAATCGCAGCTGGATTTTTTGCATTAATCGACAGGCTGATCATAAAATTCATATGGAAATATAATAGCC